ACTATACATGGTCGTTTTTTTCGACTAAACACGCCTTAGTATACATGGTCGTTTTTTTCGGCTAAAAACGCCTTACTATACATGGTCGTTTTTTTCGGCTAAAAACGCCTGACTATACATGGTCATTTTTTTCGGCTAAAAACGCCTTCAACACATGGTCGTTTTTTTCGACTAAAAACGCTAAAAACGCCTTACAATACATGGTTGTTTTTTTTCGGCTAAAAACGCCTTACTATACATGGTCGTTTTTTTCGGCGAAAAACGCCTGACTATACATGGTCGTTTTTTTCGACTAAACACGCCTTAGTATACATGGTCGTTTTTTTCGGCTAAAAACGCCTTACTATACATGGTCGTTTTTTTCGGCTAAAAACGCCTGACTATACATGGTCATTTTTTTCGACGAAAAACGCTTTACTATACATGGTCGTTTTTTTCGGCGAAAAACGCCTGACTATACATGGTCGTTTTTTTCGACTAAACACGCCTTAGTATACATGGTCGTTTTTTTCGGCTAAAAACGCCTTACTATACATGGTCGTTTTTTTCGGCTAAAAATGCCTTACTATACATGGTCGTTTTTTTCGGCTAAAAACGCCTTACTATACATGGTCGTTTTTTTCGGCTAAAAACACCTTACTATACATCACGGGTGTATAACATACGGCCGGAACCAGACCGCAAGGAGGTTTGATCAGGCCTGCAGGACAATTTAAAAGTGAAAAAATGCACAAAAGACACGGAATGAACATTTTTAATAAAGTGCATTTCATGGAATATCCGCTACGGGGAGACACAGTTTTGATTAGAGGAAAATACAACATTGTTTTGATCAGCGAAGAAGACAACAGCAGCTTCAGTCTGTCACTAAGACAGACCCAACACAGCAGACGTTATCAAGGACATGTGAATACTTTATTCTTTACACATATTATAGCACTCTCCTTAGTTTGTAAGGTGTAGGCAGGGATTACATTTAGATTTTATATGCTCGTGTAAATGATTTAAAAATTCCTTTCTTCATGAATCTCGTTTAATCTTAAAAGTGCATTACTATAGTTTTCAAGACCAATTACTTAAGTTTGTGCCTTTGTACAGTCAGTGGGATCAGTTGCAATGCATATATGTGAATGATAAAAGTACATTGCACATTTGTCTCAGGAAATCTTAGGTGCTTCATGAAATGTTTTGTAAAAGATATGTTCATTAAATGTCAACATTTTCCTAGTGTTCTTGTGCATCTTTAGACCAAAACAAAGGAAAGACATATTGTTTTGGTTATTTATAGCAGAGTATGGTATAATTTTTAACGGTCCGGCCCACTTGACATCTACCGAGGCCGTATGTGGCCCACAATGTGAAATGAGTTTGACACCCCTGGTCTACAGGTTGTCTAACATTACTGTTATCTCTGTCTTTTTGCAGAATTACATGTTCTTTGAGATGAGCTGAAGGACGATAATTTATAGGTAAAATGTCAAAATGATGTTGACAGGACTGTATGTTATTTAAAAACAACAAAAAAAAGATTTTTAGGATGACCTGGATTAACAAGAACCTACATAGAAAAATAAATAAAAAAAATGAGCAAGCACCGTGATTTTTTTTTCTTTCCCCCAATTGACTGTGAGCAGAAATGACTATTATGCAGCTAGGCTAACAAAAAAAAAAAATACTTGTAAAATGAGATCAGAGATTTGCTTCTAAAAATGCTTTTATTTGTAATTATTGAAGACCTGTGGAGATTTGGGTGGCTTCGTTTGCTTCCGCGGTTATCTCGCGCAATTTATAATGTGCAGTTTCCCACCGCGAAAATGCATCTTCCTTTCGAATGGTCCGGTGGTGTGGCTGCTTTAGAGCGCCTTGTTGTCAGCCATGAGGGCGTGCAAGCAGCATGCCAAGAAAGGTGGAATAGTAAGGAGGGGGGGGATTCTTTCTTTCCTTTTTATTTTTTAAATGCGTAATCACCATGTGGACTGGGGCTTCATGCTAGCATGGCTGCTTTCGAGTGCCTCATTGTCACAGTGTGGAAAAGCCTTTGGATGTATTCCAGTCGCCGGGGTGCTTTTCTCTTTACCAGTACTTCAAAAGGCTACCCAGCATTTAATTATTAAAGACAGAGACTTACTAGCAGCTGCATATTTTTCATTTATTGCTTTCCATCCGTCAAGCAGACAGCCGACCGTACATTTCCTAATCTTTACACAACAGCGCCCGTCACCGCGCCACCAAAGGAAAGGTGGCGTTACAGTTTTCCAATGGAGGAATCATACAAGCTTCAGTGGACTTCCACGTTCAGCTTCATTTCATGGATTACAAAATGGTAAAAGCAGAGAATGTCCGTTTTGTAAATCGTTGACATTAAAGCGCAGCCACTTGACCTTGGACTAGTTGAGAAACAGCACAGCAGTCCAGTCGTCAGATGCCGAGTGAGTGTAAATCTACCCCAGACGGACGTGTCCTACCCCTCCTTCCCCCTCTGGAATCCCACTTCCAGGTTAGAGAGGGAGACTCATGGCTGATTTAATCTTCAATGATCTGTCTTTACAGATATAAAGTAACAGTAGAAAGTCAAGTTGGAAACGAACAGAGGAATTGTAGTTTAAAATACAGCACAGTATTAAAAGAACTTTGTACCACCAACCCTGTTTGATTCCCGAGAGCAGGAGAGCAAGTCGCGTGACGTGAACACGCCGAAATTGGAGAAGGGTTGATGAATTGAGCCGAGAACACATTTTCTCAATGGCTTTTGACCAAATAGCTGAACACCAGTCCGCTTAAGGTCAATCGTGTTACTTGCTACAAAAGTAAAAGGGAAAAAAAAAAATTACAAATAAAAATCGGAGACTTCCCTCCTCTCTGGTTAGTTAAAAATAATGCAAGTTCCTCTCTTCTGCTCAAAGGGCTTTCTGGTCGCTCCCAAGCGGACACAAAGAAGGAATGCTCTTTCCCTGTCTCTTGTTCCCGGCCTTCGCTTGGTCAATCCACGCAGCGGGTACCCGGACAAGTTGTACGCCCTCTCCGTCCACCACAGTACTGTCATATAAAAACACACCTGCAAACGAGGAGGCCACAAGTGTGCTTACAGTGCTGAATTACAACAAAAAATAAAAAGAAAAATGGATGAGCGGGTGGGAGCAGAGGAAGGGG